GGGGGGGGTGGGATTGGGGGGGTACGACCAATCAATTCTTTATTATGGTTGGGATGGGAGAACCTCTCCCTGGATGCTCTGAACTCCTGCTCCCATGCCAGTGTGGTATTGAGCATGGCGGAGGTCTGCTTGTAGGTAGATCTCAGCTTGCATCATTTTGTTCTTTCGACCACGAACTAGTCAAGACTGAATCAACAGCGCAGAATCACTGGTGAACACTAGTTTGTCTCATTTGCTTCAAGGCGCGACTAATCAACCATCGATTGCAGACAATCAATCCAATGCCTAACGAGTGATCATTCGGCCCCTCTCAAAAGAGAACATGAATGTTAGCAAATGAACAATTTCCTCCATCCCAAACTGTAAATGATGTTCTGCTTACTCTTGGAAACACCTTTTTTTCTTTCATTAAAATGACAGTTGGGTTGAGCTGTTTACTAGTATTAGGGCTGGTGTGTTGTTTTTGTTGATGACTAATTGTAGAGCACTTTAATTGAAAGGGTATCGTAGAATCCAGCGAGGCGACCGCAACAATCATCAGATTCCACTTTTATTTGCTGTAATGCTGAGTGTACATTTATGTGTACCTGCAAGTCACTGTCTCACTTTTACTCCTACCAGTAGAAACAAGTCCAAAAAACAGCAACGTTTCCATGCACGAGTGTTGTAAACAGTCAGGAATTGAACAGATTGTCTGTAAACTAAACTATATTAGCGCAGTACAACATATACCGGTACATTGGATTTGGATTCTTATAATAAAGCATGCCACTGGCGTAAAAAACAAAAAACCCAAACAAACAAACACATCATGACCTTTCACATGACAGACAATAATGCACAGCAAAAGTTACAAGATCACCCCGAAATGGATGACTACAATCTGTGCAAACTAAACACGTCAACCAACAACACATGAGATTGACGTGTGCGACATTCAAGTCTTTGACTTCCAAGTCATCACAAAACAAATATGATGAATGTAAAGCTACACAACAGAATAGTTTTATTCACAACACGCCCCTGAGAGACTTCTCGACATATCCACGAGGATGCTGGTCTACATGTGCACCATTAACTTCATCAAATTTCTTCTTTTGTGCTGCAGCAATGGCCCAACAAGGCCTACTTCCAATGTAATAACAGCAATAAATTACTGTATTAAAGTAGCTCCCTGGATAAAAACATCCACGTGTCAGTTTCAGCAAAGGTTGCTATAATTAAACTCATCCTTTGGCCAGTGAGGATTTGGTAACTGTTTGTTTTCATCCTGGACTGGAAGTCAGTGCCTCATGCCAGGAACTTGTCTGCGTGCTTACCATTCACGGGATGTCTCTTGTTGACGGTGGTGGTGGCGGCAGGGGTGGGTTCATGTCAATGGCTTGCATACTAAATGCCAGCGGGGCATCTGTT